TGAAATTTCATTTAATATTGATAAAACCTGTTTACCTTATTATGAGTTAATGGTATTTTTACGCGTTCGTTTAATTATGGAATGAAGTGAAATATATCATTTATCTGATGTATAATGAGTAATTGGCCCAAGAACCGAGCATCGCCGCAATCTTAGAATTGTGACGTCATATCAAACATCGAAGTCCGTGAATCGATAACGCAATTGTCCAAGAAACAAATATGCAAAGTTTCATGTTGACGGTACCTGAATTGGTACAACGAAATGAGGAGTGCATGCGGTCCAAAAATATGGCAAATTATTAATAGCCTTATGATAGTTTTCTTGTTGCAATCCTGGATAAATAATTGTAGATCTTTAGAAGAACAGGGGTAGACAAAAACGAAGCTAAAAACGTATCTAACTGCAAAATCGTTTGTTTTATGTTAGCTTCTAGCACATGCACGTATCTTGGTTTAATTATACAAATTTTCAAAGAAAAAGCATCAGATATGGATAAATGATTTTTTTTAAAAGGGGGGGAGCTGCAAAGTAAAATCTTGACAAATTACTTTTTTATACCGGTTTTTTTTTTGGGGGGGGGGGGGGTTTCTAGACAAATCCCACTTGTGACATTCTTATTTGTGCTTTATATGGTTGCGCAATGTTGTCCATAGCATATTTATGATTTCTTACCAGTATATGGAAACAAGTGTCATTCTCGGTAAAGAGACAAGAAGGAACTTCGAGCAGACCAGGCCAAATAATTGTTTTTTAGCCCTTTAAATCTTGATATACAAATTGTGCGTTTTCATATAAAGAACATTAATAACATTTTGTAATATATTGAAAAATCAGTATTAAATTAATTGCATATTTCTTGTCTCCCAACAGGTCGAGCAATGGCAGTATATAAAAGCACAATTTAACTTCTTTGAAACTTGATATGTACATTTTATGTTGAAATGTATATATATACACTATCAGCCGAGGTAGTTTCTGAAACTATTAATTACATTTTAATTTTCCATGATCGGCCTTTGCCCAGAGCCTTTTATTAGGTCGTACTTAAAATCTCCCGAAATCGGAAAAAAAAGCAAACTCCACACTTCCAACAGTCCAGAATGGTTGAGCAAGTGTAATATTAAGAGAGCACACAAGAAGGGTACATAAAATCAAGAATAAGGAAATTCGAAGTTGAAAGATAATTGACAAGTAAATTGACGAGGATCATATCGCAAATAGTATTAATCTCGAGAGGCGTTTCTTGTGTAGGGAACTAGTGTAGGCATTTTCAAAATTAAATTTAATTGGTGGTGTTAACTGGTATTATCACTCCCACCAAGAAAATAAATAATATATTTATACATCTTTATGTCAATAACAGTATCTTGAAATCATTCATTTCCTGTATTCGCAGCCAGTCTTTAATATTAGTCTTAACGATGTTCGTTGAGCACGGGATACAATCTAAATCGCAGTATTCTGTATCTTTTGTAACTTTTGGAATCTTTGGAAACACCACAAGAAGTCAATTACAATAGGATCTGAGAAAGCATAGGATGTTCTCATTGCTTCGAGTGTTATAGGTAATCCTAATCCATTTGATATTTTTCAGGTGAAAGTATCATTTCCTGGTAAAATCATCGATATGATTGTTCTCAATGTACTCCTATTTGCATAAGGGGTTAATTGGATGTAAATTGCCCGATGCGGTGTTATTATCAGTAGCACATCCCAGTCTTCCACCCCAAGAATACTTTGACTATTTTTCTGATTATTGATTAGGCAATCACCTTCGTTTTTTAATTCTTAGTATTATGCAGTATAAATGTTAGACTAACTGACCTTTTAATTTTCAATTTTAAAATATTTTATTGTAATTTCTAATAAATTATGTTCGGTGAAAAAGTAAACAGTCCTGTCGTTTATGCCTACTTAGTCTATTCTACACGGTTTTTTTTTATTCTTATTTTGTCGTTTTTGAAACTTTTTGCTCATACATGCACAAGGGTTGGTGCAGGAAAGCAGGATGTTAATGAGCTAATAATGCAATGATCTAGCCTATAGAATTATGTCACACTAGTTCCTAGACATGTTGACGTGTAATCGACAAGAAGATTACTAAACAAATTTCTGTCATCATCATGCAGGCGGACAAATTACGGCGTTAAACAACAGCCAAACTTATGACATAGCTGTCTTACATCAGAAACAGTACTGATGTTGCAATATGGGGGTCACGGTGGCTAAGTGGGTAAGATGCTGGCTGGCTAGCCTGGAGGTCGTGTGTTCGATCCCTGCATTGGCCGAGGAAGTTCATCCAGATTTTCCGGCGTGGTTCCCCCTTGTCAGTGATGCAGAATGGGGGGCTGACAAGGACAGCTGTCTAGTTGTTCGGATGGGACGAAAAAACGAGGTCCCGTGTACACATTGACGTGCACGTAAAAGATCCCTTGACAGTTGGAATTCGATATAAGATAGGCCGTAGTGACGCTGTCCGGGCAAAATTTCCCTCATAGCACACTTTATTGCATATGCCCGTCTTCATTAGCCCAGTTCAGAGCAGAACAGTAGGACGTTAAACCCCATTTCATTTCATTTTGCAATAAAAACTAACCAAAATCTAAATAAATCTTGGCCTATATGTGTGGGCGTGTGTGGAAATGAAATGAATTGGGATTTAAAATCCTACCGTTCTGCACCGACTGCACTACTGAAGACGGGCATGCAGTGTGCTATCAGGGCAACACTTATTTCTAATTCCAACTATCAAGGACTATTTTACGTGCACATCAATATGTTTTTCTTCACATCCAAACTATTAGACACTGTCCTTGTCAGGTCCTCCGTCCTGCACCACTGACAAGGAACTACGCCGGAAAAATCACATTAGCATGGATGGTACAATTAAAGGTCATGGACACCTGTGTTACGTTGGCGTGCACGTAAAAGGACCCTTTACAGTTGAAAATCGAAATAAGACTAGACCACATTGTCACAGTCCTGTCAGTCTTGCATGGCACACCCCGTATAGGACGTTAAAGCACAGTTCATTTCATTTAATTTGACTTGTTAGAAGTGAATGTACAGAAACGAAAGCACTAATATGTCTAAGTGTTGTACAGCATATTGGACGCTTACGACCGGAACTGCATCGATCCCCATAAGTTATATTTATTACAGTTTGAAATGTCAGTGTTTTATCCCGTACTCAGTTTGTTTTGAGAATTTCCAGTTGTTTGTTTTTATGTGTGATGCCGCCCAGCTGCACCTGATAAAACCGTTTGGGATCGGTTATTGCTCTATCAATTAACTTTTCTTTGTCATGCGCATTATCAAAAAGATTAAATGTTGAAAAATATATTATAGTGATTTTAAGAACATAGGATGCCTTCTTTTATGTCTATTCAAGAACGCCGTGATGGGGTAAATAATACAACTTTTTCACTTTTTTGTTACTCTTAAGCTTTCTACAATATATTGCCGTGTTATTGTGGAAGTCAAATGTGAACAATTCGATCAGTTTGCAATCTTATTTTTTTATGAATTTGAGTTTTGATTAGTTTTGACATTGTTTTATCAGATCTATGTTTTATCAGATCTATGTAGTTTTTATCATGTGGTATAAACCAATTTACCGACCAACCCTGGTTACCTATTCTGTCGCTCTCTGTTTATAAACATCTGCAAGAAAAATTTGTCACCTTTTGTTAAGTTCCCAAATCGACTGACTTTCCAGCTTCGTCATGCTGCCGATCGGAAAACTACGTTTTTCCATAAAGTTGGCGGTCGGCCACATGAATAAACACACCAAAGCTATATATATTTGTTTGCTACTATATATAGCCTGTTAAATCAAATTTCCATCGTGCTGAAGATTTCGTCGCATGAATTACCCAATTATAACTATTTATTTGTTTAGTACTATTTTTGGGGGGGTTTGGGTTTTTTTTTTTTAACATATTAGCATGCAGTTTGTACATTATTTTAAGTTGATTCTGTATGATGCTGGCCGTTCGGCTGCAATAACAAACATCCTTGAAGCTTCCGAATTTTGTTCGTGTCTTGTAATTTGGTTTCTTGACATCGGTTGTTTTTGTTGATAATGTCTGTTACTGTTAGGCCTAATTTTTGAACCCAAATTGCCGACCCTAAACTTCTTTTCTCATTTGCCAGATTCGAAACATCGGCTTTGGCGTGGTGTTCTTCAAATATTGAAATTTCGGTATTATAACAGGCCGAATCTGCTTAATTTTACAGACCCGAACTCAGTAATTAGATTAGAAATGCTTGGAAATAAATAATAAACACGTTACGGTATCACAAAGGTTAGAAACTGCAAGTATCGATGTTATAGTTTATTAAAAGATATTAGTTCACTTAGTTCTGTCTAAGTATTTTTGTAAACACATGTATATTTTATTATGCCTTTTATTAAATGTAATAGCGCTGATGGACAGAACATTGTATTAGATTTCCGGATCTCATTATTATCAAATATAATTAAATCGACAATTATTTATTTTCCATAAGGAAGAGCAATGTGTTTCACAGAGAATTACGAGTCCTCTAATATCTCTGTAAAAGATGACTGCCTTTAACACGTGCCGTCACAGCACGCGGCGTCAATCATTGACTGAATGGCGCGTGCATTGTTTAAATAAGGCGTTATTTCTTTGGACAGAATGCTGCCTTTTAGTCATTTTAATACCCATTTACACTAAATAGGAAATAAGTTTTACCTACAAATACGTCAAAAGTCTTTATTTATTTTTCTAATACATCAAAAAAATGTTTTAGAATTTAATTTGTCGGTGGAAAAAGGTTAATATTTGAGACTCATTAAGTCGCATTGATGTCATCCTTATCAGTGATTCTAGAGGCCTAGCGATTATTCACTGCTTATCAGTGTAATCAAAGAGGCTTCATCTTCCAATAGCACTGGTTGTGCTTTTATTCATTTTCCTTCTGAACAAATTTTGGAAACAAAAGAAAACACAGGAATATTTATACATGAATCTTTATTACCAACATATGAACATATTTAGGTTTGAATTTACAGTCATTATAATAAAATCTATTGCTAATCATAATTATATATTATGTAGATAGAGATATATTATCAAATTATTGTTAATCAAAAATATTACATTTAGATAATTATAGAATTCAAATTTACATCATTTACATTCATTTTATTTCGATGACTAAATACTTAATCCATTTTCGAGGGGGAGAGGGGGGGGGGGGTATAGAATTTTCTATTACAGCAAATTAAGAATAAAGGGGGATACCCAAGCAGTTAATTGTTTATTCATTAGCTTATGTATAATATCAGTACTGTTCAGTTGCATTGATAATTATTTATTTTTAAGTGATACATATTGCTAACCAAGTTTATAATATTAACATAAAATGCACTGCCTAAAATCATAATAGTTGAGTTTATGTTATCATACACGCATTTTTGTTTGTCCAAGACAAAAACAAATAAAATATCATACAAAACCAAATAACATATCATATATTGGGCAATTAATACATCTATATTTAGCACTACATCAATTAACGTGTCTTCAACGACAAGTTAAACTAGAAAGAGTGATGTCCCTTTCTGAAACAGTGGTACAAAACAAAATGATCACAGGGAGATAACCCACAGTTAAAATAAAATGATTAGCTGATTTCAGCAATAAATTCATACAGTTTTATGAAAACAACGATAATCTACATTTTATTCTATATAATGATTGAAGCCAAACATTCTGCTATATAAAAATTTATGTTGGCTTGTATCAAAGAAAACATAAAATGTTCTGAATGAAGGAAGCTTCTGGGCTTTAAATTCGATTTGAAAAATCATGCTGGCAAATTTACAAAACAAGATGATACACTAAACGTCCCGATTACAAGTCGCCGGGTTAACATACAACAAAACGGTATTGACACTTGTAAAATGTCAATGAATGTTGACAACATGAAAGGTTGTCGTTGGTAGGCTAGGAAACCATAGTATCAAAATAACTCACCAACAAAATCGAATCTTGTATCTCACAATTTATCTGTCCTGGTTTCACCTTTAGCCTTTGCCAAAACGGGGATTTCCCCTGAGGTGTAGATAGTTTATGAAATCGTCACTGAAATCGTCATGATCACAAATCTGTTGAACGAATATCAGAACTGTCTGGTGCAGCACTACCGTCCTCGGCACCCCCTGATGTCCTTGGTACAGCTGGACTAGCTGGTAATTGGAGTGGGGGAGGGGGTTGTGGCAAAGGAGGCGGGGGAGGAGGTAATGACTCGTTGTCATCATCTAACAAATCATAAGAGCCCTCTCGTTGAAAACTGTCAGTGTCACTATCCGAGAGAACTTCATCTACTTGTCCTTCTTGCTGACGCGTTGATTTCTGAATTTGACGTCGGAGTTGAAATGCTTCCTCTGTTGGAGGAGATAACAGGTTTGGCACACTGTCTTGATGTCTGACGAGTTGGGGTCGTATCTCCCTGGGTCCACTTGGCTCGCGTGATAATCTGTCTTCGCTAACAGCACGGGAATGAGATATAAGAGGCTCACCATCCTCATAATCCTGATTAAAACCGAAAACATGGCGACGATGTTTCTCCTGCCATCTTTTTTGTTTGAGTTTTTCAACTTTACGTTTCTTCTCGGCCTCCTTCAAACAAATGAAAAGGAAAATTACGTTACTAGAATGGTAGACAAAATATTAACTTTGTCATCAGTGTTTCAAACACCCCCAAAGTAATTAAAAGAAAAATCAAAGTAGCAGGATTAAAGATTCTAAAATATCGTTTATAGAGAAACAGAAAATCGTCTCTACCGGAAAAAGTTATAATTATCAATCTAACGTAATAGACATCTACTTGTCTTGTTATATGATGTTTTTATTTGAAAATGTGACTGGTGTTTCAGCTGATATTTAGCGAGGAAATAAAACAAAGTACAGCAAAACATATCTTACGTCTTCTTTCTGTTTCTTAGCTATAGCTGTCACTTGATGTAAGAGGTCATCTATTTTAGTTTCAGTAGAATCTATATCTACTGACGTCAAACACAGAGCTTGATTAAGAGGAAAGAAGTCATAATTTTCACTTTCAACCTGTTTAAAAATAAATGCCATGTTACATATTTATCACTCTTTTAGTGTGATCGAACAACAGGATATCGGATAATATGTATCCGCTCGCTTTGAAATTGGTGAAAAGCGTAATATAGAAAACACTGGCTTTATGTACATACCACGTTTATATGGTCATTTTTTGTGCCCTTTAGGATAAATATTCCAGCAAGATAATATACGCTCCTGATCTGTATATCCCTCAGTACTTTGTGAACAGGTGATACATGAGACATGAATAAATGGCCCTTACGACGGCCATTTGGTTCTGCCTGAACCAAAACAGTGGTCGATTTTTTTACATAAATGCTTATTGTGGCTTTTGGCATTTAATGAACTCCTGTCAAAACAATTTGAGAAATATTTACCCGTGACAATTTAATTCATATGCTAATGGATACCAGGTTCCGGGACAAGCTTTATTCGGTTGTTATTGAGTTTGGCAAGAGCCAAATTATAGGATATTATTGCTTGTATAATATTCCAGTTAGGATTTTGTCTTTATTTTTATGAACTTTAATCTTTACTATTAGGGTCCATAGGGCTTAAATTGTTACATCATTAATTATATATGTACTATCCGATTAAATGCAGTGCACCTTAACAGGGGATGTTAACTTTTGTCTTTTACTGTTATAAGTATGGCTATAGTATAAATATAATTAATTAATTATTAAACGACATACATGTTTGCTGACGTATAATTCTAAAGCTGTATAGTCGCTTTCCTTTATATCATCTAGATGTATAATAAAATAAACATAACTCCACATATTATGTTCATTTTTTACATGATAATCAAAACCCTGAAAAAAACAACACAAATACGCTGATTATCGTTATGGTGAGTAATAATAAATAGTTTGAAACTGTTACTATTATGTTTTGCGCATTAATACTCGCGAATCTGTTAACATGTGCAATGTTACTATTATACTTTGAAGATTTATACTTTTGAATCTGTTAACATGTGCAATGTTACTATTATGTTTTGAGAATTACTACTTTTGAATTTGTTAACAAGGGCAATGTTACTATTATATTTTGAGGATTATGTTAACATGTGCACTGTTGCTATTATGTTGTGGGAATTTTAATATTTTGGTATCTGCTAAAATGTACACTGCTATTATTATATTTTGAGGATTATGTAATTTACATAATAACTTACCCTTCCGTGGTGTTCAAAATCATAACTGTTTCTACTGCAGATAAAACACGTGTCTTTCATATCGGATTCAGCTCTCCACTGTAAATGAGGCAAGATATTACAATATTATTTGCAAAGGTGCTTCGGGCACTTGGGCCCGGGAAATTTGGGTTCCATTTATTTCAACGGCAATGAATTTGATAAGAAACTATGACTGAATGGTTCAATGATTTTTTTTTTTTTTGCTTTACTTATAGCAAGTTGGGTTAAACTGTATTATCTTTAATAACCAGTACAAATACATTAAAAAGCAATCTTTTAAAAGAAATCTTTTTCACTGTTTTCTCCACCAACCGTGATAATAGACGTTTGCTATGGGGGTAAATGTTGCCCGGCTGTCAATAGCAATGTTTTCGCCTACACTCTTCACAGAATTCCAAATGTCAACGTATACCCGGGACTTTTTTTTCGACCCCTGTTCCTTACCAGACCTCTCATTCCCCTTCACTGTCTTGTGAAAACCACGCTGGAAAATGCCAAGGTACTTTCTCGGCCCACGCCGACAACAAACCCAGGACTTCCTAATTAGTAAGCCATTTCCCTACACACTGAGTTACCATAGTTCCCCAATTTTAGATACATGTTCTCTACTGACACAGCTTGACAAACGGGTTGTACTAATGCTACTGGTCTTTTCTAAAAGTTGTAATAACCTTGAGGGTACACTATAAGTGTATTTAATATTGTATTTGTTAGTAACAGAAACACGGGAATAGTGGACAGAACTTACCTTTAAATCCCTCATTTCAGAGAAAGTATCGACAATGATACCAAAGATGATGTTTAGACCAATGGTGGTAATGAAGATGAAGAAGGTCACGTGATAAATGACCAATGGCCAAAAACTACCAAATGAGCTGCCGACAGGATTCTGTTTTATCTCCTATAAGTAAAATCATTTTATTAATATTCTGTCATAGAAATTCTGTTAAACGACAACGATCCTATAATGACACTATACAAGGTGAGGTGAATCAATCTGATTCATACAGTACATCAAACATTACATTGTAAGACAACGAATAGAGCCTATAAGCCTACCAGTAACTTCCGGAACATAGTTACGGACCTAGCCACAGAATTCCATAAGGGTCCTCATGATGTCAGGTCCCACAATCCCAGCCTGTTTACCTCCCTCCACGCACTCTGTTTACAAAGTACAATAATGTATAAACTTACCTCAAACATGTCTCCAATAAGACCATATCTGATTACCGTGACTGTACATTCCCACAACGTTGAACAATACAGATAGTCACTCGCCGAAAAGTAGCTTCTTAGCAGAGCAAAACCAATCAAAGAATATATATATATGACGATAAATCCCAGGACAGCCACCCACAATAATGACATACCTAAAATATAGAAAAATATTACGACGTCTCAACGAATGGTTTAATAAATCCGGGAGCCACGATGACTCTGTAAGTGCCAGGGTTCGATCCCGGTGTTGACCGAGAAAGTTCTCCGGGATTTTCCAGCGTGGTTTCCTTTTGTCAGTGATTTAGGATGATGGGCCTGGCAAGAAACAAGTCTAGTCGTTCGGATGGGAAGAAAAACCGAGGTCCTGGCGTGCACGCATGTTCGTCTTCATTAGCCCGATTTGTGCAAAAATGCAGGACGTTAAATGACCCATTACATTCATTCGTCTCTTGGACTGTAATAGCGCAGAACATATTTTGTTTTATAACTTACCGTTAACAGTTACAGCTTTTATCACACCACTCAGTAACTGATTATTGTTGACTATATTTAGTAAATGGAAAGCAAAGAAGTAACCATGGAATAGGGTTCCTGCTATAGACATACCCAAGAAGAGCTGGAAGAAAGATACAGAAGAAATATCAAAAATTGCCATTCATTTAATTTAAATGATACAATAATATTACAGATCAGACTTGACGGTCATTAAGTTCAAATATTATTAAAAAAAAATCAATCGAACAGAAGTGTCCTATACTTTCTATTGATTTTATGCCGTCATCATTTCATTTCTACACCATTTGATTCCTTATACGAACATGAAACATTGACCTCAAGGCGGTATCTAACCTACGCTTTTTTTCAAATGAGATTAATACCCAAAGAACCCTTTTACGTCTTTATTTTGGTTAAATCTAAATATGGAGTACTGCCACCTGGCGCATTGAGATTTCAAGTTATATGATATAACATGAATTTTGGCTTATTAACTGATAGCTTTATAAAGGAAACGATTGTATTTTCGGTACGCCCCCCCCCCTCACCTTACAAATTCCAAATTATAGTATACTAAAAGGGCGATTGTATATTATCACTGGTAATGTACTTGTATACTTATGAGAAAGTAAAACGTCGAGATTTTTTTTTTTTTTTTTTTGTAATTCACTGTTTCTTAAAATAAATTTCAATTCGAACCATCTTTCCTTAAGATTAACAGTTATCAGAAAAATACACATCCTTACCAGATAATAGAATGTAGCGAAACTGAATAAATTAATATTTATAACACTATAGGGTTATTTTAGGTCTAAGAAAAGTGTTCTGTTTAATATAGAAATCTTTACCTACATGATGTGTGACGAAAACTAGACTAATGAAGTAGCTTGCATTATCCTACTACTAACTTAGAGTCTAGACTTAGACTAACTCACCCCCAGTTATGTCAGTATCCATTTCTGGAAAGTAGGGTACTATCGTCCAGTCATCTCGGGCACAGATTAGTACAATTGACTAGAATAATGTTGACGTTAAACGGTGCCTATACGAAACACTTACCCAAAAATGGTAATTGTCCCGCCCTAATAGCTGCTGCGTTATACTTCTATATATTATAGAGCGGGTTCGATTTACTTCAGACAATCATTCGGAGCCCAGGGGATCACCATACCTATAGCCTCCTCGGCTTAGAGGCTAGGGTGAAGACATCATCCTAGCGCGAACGTTATGTAGAACTATCAAGAAGTATGTGGCTCTTGCCACGTTTAAGCCGTTAGGTCTGAGTTAGAAAGGATATTAAACTCAGACCGTGTATAATTTAATAACTCAAAAAGTAACTATCATCGATATTGTAGTTTCGTGTATGTAACTTTTGTAGTTTGTTGTATTCGTTAGATAAACTTAGTAACAACATAAACGGTGTTCCAGAGTCAATTAATTGATGATTGAAATAATTCATCCAACAACGTGAAGTCCAAGCAGGTCCTAGACAATCATCTGTCCCCATAGTGTCACGCATTGAATTTAACAGTTATCAGAAAAACGCACATCCTTACCAGATAATAGAATGTAGTGAAACTGAATAAATTAACATTGAGGTTGGATATTTTTTCTACTTTCTTTGTGAAATCTTGATTATCTGTTTCTGTTCTACCACAAATTTTCCTGAAAAAAATAAGTTACATGTGTAGATTATAGTCTTATCTACAGAATGTTTGCTTTTCTTCATAGTTTACTATATATTTTATTCTTTTCTACAGAAAATAACACATTTGATTGACACGATTCTCGATGACGAAGCGTGCAGCAACATTGTCCTTTAAGATGTATGATCTCCTTAAAGGGTGTATAGCTCTATTCTTTAAAACCTTAAAATATTTGACGATGAAATATGGGTGTATCAATATTGATTAACATTTAATTTTTTTAAAAGAAATATTCTAATTTCTAATCAATTATGTTCGATGATATACGTAAACAGTCCAAACTGAATAGCACTCGTTTGCGCCTGGCTAGTCCCGTCTACACGTTATCTTATAGTCATTTTTGGATACGTATTGCTTTGTCCATCACAAATGGCGTCTGAGACCATATTGGATATCAGAAGCCCATTTATCGTTTGTGGACCAGTCATTTATAATTACTTCAGCATTGATTTGTGGGATATTTTTTTGCGTTGTTCATTACAAATAGATCGCGAGACCATATTGGATACACAAGCACACATTTTCACGGTACGATATCTACATTAATATCGGTTGAAATGGACCAATATTGAATTCTATTTCGTATTTTTTAATTCTGAATATTATGGATAATATTATAAGTAATTTTACGCCGCTCTTTAAGACAAGATGAATAATTTTGTTACAAAAAACAGATAGAAATAAGAATTTTGATCTTTCGGTTATTAAAACTACACAATGAATTCTGCTTTTTAACACACGAATGACACTTTTAAAATATTAAAAAGAATTCATACCTGAAACCAGCTTTTATATCCGTTAAGTTTGGCATACGTGGATGATTCGACAAAAAATAGCTAATAAGTACAAATAATGAACACAGATTATGAACGCCACCTAGGGCCCATAATGCTATCACATACTGATTGTCTGGTATACCAACAATTAACGGTACTGGGCTGAAATTAAAAAAAAGAAATATTGTATCAACACGACGTACTTTGGTGGTGGAAACGGTATTGTTAGAAATTAAATTGATCTATATAGCCGTTAAAATTTGTCAGCCGAACGGAGATGATAATTGATATTTGATGAAATTAAGAAGAATGGGACATGGGTATATTTCGTTACTCGCCTAGCGGTTCCAGGCGAGTTATTTGTCCCCGAATTTCATTATTTCGCTTATATGAGTTTGAACAAGGCAGATTTTAGGCATAGTGACCAGCTTTTTCTCAATGTTATTTCTGAAAGAGACACAAGCCCCTGTGTGCAAACAAGTTTAATTATAGCATAAGTGAATTCGATATCCGTATCATCTTTTCGCCATTTAAAGGTCCCTTTCATAACTCGAAACATTAAAATGAGATAAAGGCATATGCTTCTTTTAAAAGACAAGGCATAAACTAATGTTCGGAGAATTTTAAATAAACTTGCATAACTTACTCATAAAGACCAGGACACTCAATTGATGCATTTTCTGGATTAACAGTGAAAACTTTGGCGCAATCCTCCATTGATGCCTTAGCATTCCACGTCAACAGCATAATGATATTGATAGCTAAACTAAGAAAAATGGCACCATAGTTCCACACCAACCTGTTAAAAATGAAAAGTCTTTAAATTTGTCTCCTTGGCTATCATCTACATTCAGCGTCTTACCCACTTAGCCACCGTGATCCCCGGCATGGCGTATGCCCGTGTTCATTAGCCCGGTCGGCGCAGAGCAGTAGGACGTTAAACTTCATTTCATTTCCTTTCATTTAGTAACCGATCGAGATTCCAGGTTCCTTTGAAAGCGGGGTGAAAAAGTGTTGTCATGTTTAGCTGTACAATGTTGCTGTGACAGAGTTATGTTTTCGGGTACTATTTATTGTGTCCCGACATCCTTCTTCAAAGATACACTATGGAAGATTAGATAAAGAGCTGGCAGCCCCCCCCACCCCACTATAATAATTAAAAACAAGATGATGTAAATGAATTATGCTGAAAATTTGAGTCAAATTGCTTCACTCTATGCCGAGAAAACCTTATTTTAACATCTCTGTAGCCTCGATTATCATTATTACCGCTGTCACGATAATTAACAAAGTCTCGATTATCTACTTTTGCGTTTAATCATCAATGGACGTTGAACAGCAGATCGGATTCAAATCCAATGAAAATCGGACACAAAAGATGGCATCGAGAGTTGATTATGGTATTTTTATGTTAAGTATGTCTAATTAATAGTGATATAACATTTCAGGCCTAAAGAAAGAACTGGATAGGAAGATTTACCTCTTGCATAATGCATGTTTAATCTTATGCATCGCTTTATTGGGGAACTAGCCCATGTTATTTGTGTTTTGCCTATAGGCCTAACCCATTCCAAAACTTAATCCCATAAATATAGCTCATTAAAGTAATTGACCTACCATCCTTTTGTGAACATCTTGGCGATAGGGTTGTTGAGGATTTTCTTTTGATATGTAATATCTTTCATGATATCACGCGTCCACTGCATGAGATCACGAATTTTGTTGCTAGGCGACGTTCTATCAACGTTCCATTTTAATCTTTCCTTCACTTCATCTCTAACAACGCTCTGTAAGAAAATTTACAATGATGGACAAGGTATTGAAACAATCTAGTTCAGTGCTTAATCAGATTTGATCATAGAAATACAGTTTATAAAAAGGAAATTTAAATTAAGAATATAAGTATCCTTTGTGTAACAGTGTCTTGCAGAGAGGGGGTGGTCGGGGCAACACGACCGGGCATTAATTTTTGAAATTTGAAATTATCGCTTTACATCCTTATGTGTTGCATTATGTGTTACATCCTTTCTAATATTTCTGTGCACTGGGCTCCTATACTCGAGTCTCGGGCGCATGCCATCAGTGGGCTAGCCCCGGGCATCAACAAGCCTCTGCACTTTACTCTTGTGAAGATTATGGTTGTGGGACACTTACTTTATTTTTTACCCGGAAATTAACCTTTTGTAAAACATCATCCTTTACTATTTCTATAGAACAGGAATTTTTCTTGTAGTAATCAAAAGCCTTCAGGTTTTCGGGGGAAAGTTTCAGTTCTGAAAATCAAGCAGGATCAAAATAAAATCTGAAAGTCGACTCAATGAGTAATTACTATAGAAAAAAATCATTTTTAAATCAAGATATCTTTCTGTGACTTATAGACCCTGGCGATTATTTTCGAACAGCTGAATATTTTGATTTGACATTTCCAGACATGGTACATAGGCTACATGGTTATATTTACGTCCTTTACGGGGCCCTTTGAAATATGGGGCTGGACCATACTAGATATACTAGTATCAACTTACGTGAATTAAGATTTGGATCTATATCAATCATTCTAGCTAAAATCATATAAAATCCAAACCCCACTTCCATCACAGTTTCTTTCAAGGCACTTCTCTTTTTACCTTTCTGAAAATAAGCAATAATTGCCAGGCAAAGTTTTATCTAAGTTTCTCATAAAGTAATATTCCAAAGGTATTTTTCTGATCGACAAAGTAAACTTGTCGATACTTTATTACAAAATGCCCTGTTTACACGGGGTATTGTAAAAGCTCTCAAGAAATAATATTTGGAAATATTACAAAAAATATATATTCATGATGTTATATCTCGATTAGTACGATACTTCCGGATCAGACGTTATGGAAGCATTAGCATTACTTTACTTGGTATTTGACGGTGTTAAATTAAATTCTATATTAATATTTAATTTATTAATATTTCGCAAATATAACAATGAAAACCAAACTAACCACAGCTCCTTGTATAAGACTTCCTCCAAATGCTGCCAGAGATTTCGCTGATTGAAGATAACTACCATTTTCTGCACTTTTCATTAAGCCGTCTAGTTTCGGTTTTTCGGCTTGGTGCATTTCATAGCAAGCTGTCATACATCTGAACACAGCTTCTTTATCTAATGCATCTTTTACAGCTTTGGCTACCTGGGAGGCACCGGGTCCATTCTCTTCTATCAAGGATGTTATTAAGGAGGAGATTATCTGCTGCAGTTCTATAACCTAATTTCAAAAATAATAAAATAAATTTTATAGTAT